GAAACACGGCCCTCTGAATCCGAAGTGTGCGCTTCACAACTTCGGGATTCTGGCTTTTGCCCATGGTTGCCAAAGTAGGATACGCGGGCAGACGACGAGGAAAGCAGATAGGGAATGGCTTCGGTCGAAAGTCGCTCGGCTACCAATGTGTAGTGTGCACAGCAGCGAAACGTGTCTTGGTATAGACTGGGCCCCATCAGCTAAGGTGCCAGCAGCTGCATCGCAGCCAGCATTGGACATGCAGGCCATGTGCAATTCGTTGCTCCGGGCCAAAGCCATGCTGCACCCTCCACACTGGCATTGCCGTCCTCAGAGCCATCGCACAGACCCATTGCCACACCGGCACGAGCTCCATCTGTGCATGCAGCCGCAGAGGGAGCTCCGGAAGCCAATGGGTGTCCCATGGATGGCAAGGATGAGGACAGCCATGAGACTGAGAAGAACCATGCCAAGTCATTGGAAGAACGGGAAAAGGAAACATTCGAGAAGTTGTCCCAGAAGAGGAAGGCAGAGCATAAGCCATCTGCCAAGGGCAAAGCAAAGGCCATGCCCAAGGCAAAGGCCAAGGCAAAGGCCAAGGCAAAAAGCTTGGCCATGAAGGCACATGGACATGAGAAGGCAGCATCGGCAGAGACCGCATCGACCAAGGCCAAAGCCAAGGCCAAAGCCAAGGCTAAAGCCAAGGCGAAGGCCCATGCGAAGCCGCAAGCTCAGGCACATGACCTGAAGCCGGGGGTGCCTCCCGTCGGGTGCCCCCGATGCCGAGGAAATGTCCTCGGCTGCCCGACATGCACATCTGCGACATACAACGGGATACGTCTCCCTGGAAGGGAGGCATTGAAGGCACACATGACAGCCATGGGTAAGCCGATCAAATGAGGCATTCAGCTCATCACATGAGCCATGCGTGGCATCGCATGCATGAAATGGCCCGGCATCGAGTAAGCCTGGACAACCATTTTTGCAGGCATCATTGTGGTTTGTCCCATAATGGAAGGATGTCCATGTGTAGTCCCCATGCCAGAATGTGGCATGTCCCACAAGCCATGCTGCCAGAACATGGCAGCATCACACTTTGGCCATGCAAGGATCTGCCGGGACCGCAGCAGAGCAAAAGGAATTGAACATGTTGTTTGGGTTTAGCATGAGTGCCATGCTGTGGCTATGCCAAAGTCATGACTATACATATGTTATTCTGCATGCAATGTCATTCCATGTGTTGAAAAGTTCTGAGCTATGTATGGGTGCTTTATTGCTATATGGAGCCTTTTTCCAACCCATGGGTTGGAAAAATGGTCCATAGCACTATAGCGGCAAACCATGCACAAGATTTAGGCCCAGCTTTCAAAGAAGGGTATACATTTCAGTAAACATGGGTATTGGGCTTGCGGGTTTCGGGTTGAGGCTTTTCCTTTTAGAGGGTTTCGATATAGGGTCAGACTTTCGTGTGTTCCGGAACGGTTGTTTATAGGTTTGCGGGTTCGGGTATAAATGGTTTTGGGGTGTGGTGTTTTAGGGTTTGGTGTTTTATGCCTTAAGGATTTTCGGGTTAAGGGCTTCATGGGTTTAGGGTTATAAGGGTTTGTATATATATACATGGTTTAGCTTGTTCGGGTTCAAGGCTTTCGGCTTATATAGTGCTTTATGTATATTACATGGGTTTGTGGCCTTTAAAGTTGTCGGGTTTAGGCTTTGGCGCTTTTCAGGTTCTATATGTATGTCTATATATATATATATATATATATATATCTGATTATGTATATACATATACTTTGTCTATATGCATATTCATATAGACAAACACAAAGAGTCTGTCGATACTATCGTTATATATAGAGGGCGAAAGCCATGCCCTTGTTGAAACAGCCCATGTGGCCATGTACCCGTGAGCAGTCCAAAGATCAAACACGAGAATCAGGACCATCAGTACAGTTATAACCCATAGTCTGCATATATATATATATAATTATATACATATATATATATGCTTATATATTATGTACATGTTATTTGTTTACATGCTTATATATGTAGAAAGCAGAAGGTTAGATGGAGAGGCATAGATAGATATAGATGCGAGAGAGTGAAACAAGCGAGGCCATCCATCATGATTGTATACAAGCCGCAAAGTGATTTCAATATATATATATATATATATACGGATATATATATAATATAATATATACATACATATGTATATGTATATATATATATATATATATATATGAAACAAGTTGCAGGCTAACTAAGGGTTAATCTTAGAAGTGCCTATACACAGCTCCATGTTTTGAATTTGTCCATGCAGTTTGCTTGAAGCCATGGACCGGGCAAGCAAGAGAGCCAAGAAATTGGAGGCCATGATGGCATTCCAGAGCAACCTTCCGGCCCATAGCCAATCTGCACTCGCTGCCATTGTCCAACGGTGCAAGACACATGGGTTTCCGGAATGTTCATCATCGTAAGAGCAACGAAATGCAAGACTTCATTTGTTGCAGCAGTCCCATGGTGGCGGCTTGGGACCATTGCTTCGGGAGGGCTCATTGGCCATGATGGATGGGAGCAGCCGGACGATCTGGTTTACATCCATGTTGGTGTTGTTGTGCAACATGTACCGTGAGTGTCCATCATTTACGGCATTGCTCCAAAGGAGACATGCCCAAAAACCAAGATGAAGTGGTGCCTGGGAACGTCTTAGGACGTGCTGATCGCAAGTTCTGGACCATATATGGGACCATCATGGAATTTGACAACCATGCTCAGCGAGAGAACCATGGATTCCATGAACAGCTTTGGTTCACATTGTGCACAGCCCGGTCGAGCATCATCATGCAAGCAGATGGAGGCATCGCCCAGGTCATGGCAATGATTCTTGAATCCATCTTTTGCAATGACATGATCCACCTTCCTCATGGAGGGTTGCTCCTCAAGCATCCCATGGGCCCACAACAAGACATTCGGTTGCACATGACATGGAACTCCATGATATGCGATGGGGCTGCTCATAAGGCTGTGTGGAGCTCGAAAGGCGACGCTGGTACAAAATTTTGCATGTTGTGTGCTAATATGCCATAGGGCATCGGCCAACATTGGAACAACACCAGGCCATGCCGGAGCCATTGCCAGATGACGAGCTTTTCATAGATACCTCATGCACCACATACCGTCAACTCCGGTTGGTGTCTGACCATGAAGTCTTGGCATCTTATGCAAGGCTGGCCGCAAAACATGGCACATGCACCAAGAAGGAGTTCACGAAATGGGAGCAGGCATGTGGCATCACATTCAGCAAGAAAGCATTGCTGACGAACGAACCATTGCTGGAGCGATCTTTGCTTCGACCATGCACGACATTCTGTCATGACTACATGCATGGTGTGTTTCAAGGAACGGCGGTGGTGGTCCTGCATCATTTCTTGCAAGATGTGAGTGAGCATCTCGATGTCTGGCAATTTTTGCATGGTTACATTGATCATGAATTTTCCCAGCTGCATGGAAGATGACCCATTTGAAGGTCTTGTTCGACGAGAAGCGAGCCATCAAGGGCAAAAATGCCCAGAAGTTTTCCTGCATTGCCTCGGAGTGTGCGGCCATATACGGACCCATCAGGCAGTTTGTCCATTCGGTTCTGGAGCCTCGAAACATATGTCCGGAAGCATGCAGAGCATTTCTTGCCATGGCCTCCTTCGTTGACCAAGTCCATGAAGGGGTCCAACATCAGGCCACGACACGTGCATCCCTTCTTCATGCGGCCGAGCAGGCCATCAGCACCTTCAAGACATGGGGCCCATGCGGCCTCATCCGGAAGTGGCACTGGACATTGCATTTGCCTGGCACATTACATCGCTATGGCTATCTTCCTTCATGCTTTGCAGCAGAACGGAAACATAAAACCTTAAGCACACATGCGACGAAACTGCAGAAGACGATGCAGTTCGAGCTCCATCTCATGCAAGCCATCGTGCCCGACGAGCTGCAGGCATTGAAGGAGCCGAACCTTTTCCCGGCAGGCATCCATTTCATGAAGGCCAAGAAGGCAAAGCCCATGGAACTCAAAACCATGGCTGACTTCCTCAGCCAGAAACCAACAGAGGCCCATGTGGCAAGTGCTGCGAGGTTGCATGGCGCCCAGATCCATAGTCAGGACGTGGTCGTGTATAGCATGGACAGGCAGACATGGGAAGTGGGCCAGGTGCTTTTCCATGCTGACGTTTTCAACATTCAGGTTTCACTCGTCCATGCTTGGGACATGCTTGAATCCCATCCGAAGCACAGGGTGGCCGTCTACCATCCCTCAGGCCGACACGGCTTCATTCCGGTGCAGGCCATAATGTTCGCAGTGTTTTCACGAAGCCAGAGCATGGACCAGCCAAAGTGCTCATGCCATACTCCATGTACTCCCGTGACCAATTCGCCGAAAAATGCATGCAGTGCTTTGCTTTGCAGCTGCACATGCTTCATGGTCTACATCGGCCTGCTGGCCATTAACTGTATATACTTTTCCGAGTTCGCATGCAGTCTTACAGGTTTTTTTCCAAACCATTTGTCTGTTGACTTTGACACGTTTTTTTTTGTGTCAGCCCCATTTTGCAAGTACCTTTTATATTGAGCTCCATTGTCTCCTGGCCATATTTTTCTTTGCAACGACTGCCACAACTTCCTTATCAGTCTCTTAATTTCACGAACAAGTTAACTAGTTATAACGAGTTACATAAAACAGGCTAACTAGTTAGTAACTTTTACCTATCTCTACATAACCAACTTAACCACTTATAAGAAACCGGGCATTCCAAGTAGAAATACATGATCCGCATTGCATGCGCAGTGTTCGAGCCATACAGACCCTTTTCCTCTCAGTTTCGCCACCAGCACCAGCACCAGCACCACCACCACCCCGACCACGACCGCGACCACGACTTCGACTGCTGTTGCTGCTGCTACGGCTACAGGTACTGCCGCTGTTACTGCTATGGCTGCTACGACCACCACCACCGCCACCACTGTCACGGCGACTTTTCGTCCAGGGGCGTGAGCTTCTTCCGCCAGAAAAGCTCCGACTTCAGTGCCGTCATCTCACCAGGCTGCAAGCGTGGCAGGACGCTTGCCTTTGGACCCAGGGAATCATGACTGTCTCTCGGATAATACAGGGTCTACGAGGGTAGTGTATACATCATGTTGCCAGGTTCAGGCCTTTGAAGAAGTGTTCAGTTCTCTAGGGGTCAGGGGTTTGGGTGTTTATAATTCGGGTGTTCGGGGCTCACGCTTTTGGACTTCAATTTCTCGTTGGAGTGCTGGAGGCTTCGGGGTTAGGACGTCCTTTAGAATGGTGGATCATGGGACTTAGTAACTAGGGTTATAACTAGGGTAACTATTATCATATACTTACAACCCCAATTAAGGTACTTATAACCTTACTTGCTAAGTCCCATGACCCTCAAAGTAGAATGGTGGGTGATGGTTTCGCCCCCAGAACCGAAGATGCCTAGAGATTTGACTAGACTGTAGCAGATCCCTCAAAGGCTCACGGGACTTCGGCAAGTAGGGTTATGACTTGTGAGCGACGGCAAAAATCAAAGAAATATGTAGTGTTCTAAAGAAAGCGTGTGTGTATATGTATATATATATATGTATACGCACACACTCTTACAACCCAAGTCAAATGATGTGTAACCCTACCCTCTGAGTCCGCTGACGGGTTAAATAGGGGACCATTTCAGAACCTGCAAAATCAAAAGTGATTCGGGCCCTGTCCGCGAGTTCTTCTGATCTCTGCAAGCGTCACAAGAACAAAGAAACCTAGATAGAGGCTGAAAGCATGCACAGGTACGCGATGCCGAGGTCGCTAGAGCTACAAGGCCTCATCTTTCTCTGGATCTTCGGATCAAACACTCATGACTAAATCATTAGAGCCCATGCAACTCTCAACAGGCATGCTGCGAAGGGCTGAAAACAGTTTTGCGCTGACATCGCTGCTAAGGCTATGCGTAATTCTGCAAAACCATTTCGCACTCGGCATATCTTTCATGCTATCGGCATCCGCTGATGCTGATCGTGATAGTGATGAAACCGAAATTGTGGCGGTTTCTGCTCGAAGGGGGCACTGCAAAATCACTTTGGGGCTACATCCGCCTTCCCGAAACCAGATGAGCCCCCACCCTGAGACTTCTGAAACGCTTGGGACTACACACTCTGGCATCCTGGTCAGCCTACAAATGTTGGAATATGAAAGCAGGAAATCCTAGTCACAACTTACACTCAAGCTAGGAACCAAAAATGACATCTTGAGTAACTCTGAGTGTTGCTCGCACTTGTCATTCGATGTCCCCAATCGCAGCGGAGTAGCGTAGCTGGGAAGGTCCAGGGCATCTGCAACCACCTTGGCTTCACGGTCCAGGGTCTGGGGCTTAATCTATAGATCTTATTCTTGGGTTGCAGGTATCCTTGCTAGACTGTACATATGTTGGCCCGTAAGAGGCGTGATCCTGAAACCTGCACCCCAACCGGTTTGTAAAGATGGCGTCTGCGGCCGACCCTTCCCCTCAACAACACAAGCAATGGTCGAATAGTGGCATCCGTTGAAGACCCAAAAAAGCAACAGTACAAAGTAGTTAAGCACCAGACAGAAATCATGATAAACGCAGCACAGAGAGTGGTACTAGCAGAATAGCCGTCGTCTGTATTGTGGTGCTAGTAGTGGCACTGATAATGCTTGTAGGTGTTGGAGTAGAATAGTAGTCGTAGTGATGGAATCAACAGAACTCGTGGTCCTGGCGACGCCCTAAACCCTAAAACCGGGCTTGGGTCAAAACCAAGTCGGGAAAGCTGGCTTTTGTTCCGAGCTTCTGTGACCCCAATGTAGAACCCTATAAGGTACCCTTTCTGGGGGACCCGAATACAGAACCCCATAGTTCATATCCTCGTAAGGGGGATCCTATGATCAACCAGGTACCCTGCAAAGGCCCGTTACGCAACTTGGGAAGAGCTGGGACGAGCCACCGCGGCCACGAGGTGGGAAAACTTGTTGGCCCAGTTGTGGGTGACCATCCGGTCGGGCAGCAAGGTCTGGTCCAGGGAGGGCCGTCAAAATGTAGGGGCCTTCATAATTAGAATAGGGGTTCCTTTAACGGGTCTATATAAGGGATCTATAGGGGTATATACCATAATAGAGGGGCCTTCAGAACTAGACTAGAGTTTTGGGGCCCGTCATACTATAATAAGGAACCCCCAAAATAGTATTGGCAATTATTTAGGTCCCCATATTAGTTGGAGGGAACGAGGGAGGGAATCTCTGATCGAAGGCAACGTGTGCGATCCATGAAACAAAGGGCAATCACGAATGTGAACTTGAAAAAGGGACCATCGCCCGGTGCTTCTTTCCACTTGATTTCCTGGGACTTCATGGGGTTGTGGGATACAGGCTCTTTCACGGAGGCCTGGCCATCCATCAGCACACATGCTGCGGCGCAGTCGCCGTGTTCTGACCCTCGGAAGCACTGGCTGCTGAGGGCCGAGGGTCTACTTCAGAATTAAAGCTGCGTGTCAGGGGTGGCGGGCGCGTTGGGGCGGTTGAGCACATCTGCTGCAGTTCTTGCATCCCACGACTCTGGGGAATGTCCACTACGGGGCTCAAGAGACACTCAGCCCGTTAGCGAAAGTGATTTAACATGGGCAAATACTCATCGGATAACACACCAACTCCCAAAAGAAGAAACAATAGTGGTTGGCGATGGATGCTGCGCGTACTGACCGCTGACATTTAAACCCCTGCCTTAATCGCAAATCAGTATGATAAGGATCCTAGTATTCAGGCCCTTATGGCATTATGGTAAATTATAGCAGAAGCAAAGTACTCCATGACTCCAAAGTAAGGGATCCGTATCAGCAATCGTTTTCGTAATTGAGGACTTAGCCCCACAAGCCCTGAAGCCGTAGCCCAGCTCAACCCATAATTCCTAACTTCCAAGCAGCTGATCAAGTAGGGCTTAGGACTTGAGGCATATTCCGTCAGATATCTCTCCTGCAGTGCAACCTCAACCCTAGCATTCAAAATTCAGCAAAGCGAGACTCCCCTGATCACATTTACAGGGCGTAGGGGTTTAACATAAGGGCCTTAATAATTAGAATAGGGTTTGGGGGCCCATTATACTACACTGATAATCACCAACCCCCGAAATAGTGTTGGTAATTATTTAGGCCCCTATAGTACGGAGAGGTTTAGGGTTTCGCAATACCCTGCGAAGGCCTGCCGTCATCGGGATGATCACCTGTCGGACCACATCGGCCGTGGTGTGCTGTGTCGGGTCGTAGTGCGGCATCCGCTCCTCCCACAAGGAAGTCTCTGCGAGGCTGCGCAGAAGGAAGGAAGTCTCTGCGAGGCTGCGCAGCCCACGTATAAAGAAGGACGAATCGAACGTGGAAAGACATTGTTGGGTTTTCTTAAACACCAGAAGCACAAAAAACAACGAAACACCGAATCCTTGAACCCCAATTAAGTCCTGAACCGTCTTGCCCCTAGACCCTATACCCTGAACCCATGGAAAGTGTATCGTGGCCGAGTTTGGGAACCTCCAGGCGGCTGTAGAATGTGAGCAGAGCTCCTGACGAGGAGGAGGGTTTAGGGTTTAGTTTAGGAACGAATGGGTTTTAGGGTTTAGGGGTTTAGGGTTTAGGGGTTTAGGGTTTAGCATTCGCGACGGCTTCAAAGGTTTGACAAAGCCGTTGGGGCTTTTTATGGGATGTTGGGAGAGGTAGACATGAGGTTGCAAGGACCCCGTTGCTCGTAGCCGTACTTACCTAGTCCCCTGACGCCTCAAGTACGTAAAGGTACACAAACAGCATGCAAAGATAGCTACAGTCTGGAGCGGCAGAGCCAGGTCGAGGGACAAAGACAAGCGGAGAGGCAGAGAGGGGAACATCTCGCATGTAAACGAATTGCGGCTTCGTGTAGCATGATCCCTGCAGAAGCACCCGGCCTAGGCTGATAGCTCGGCGGGCCAGATCGTTGGTCTCCGAATCCCATTCTGCATGCCCGGTACTCCAGGTCGCACCCTGCTGGCACCATGCTTCGTGCACGGACTAGCCACAACACTTAATACTAGCCAAAGAAAGAGTAGTGGAGTTAACAGCTGACGGTCTTATGCTCCGAGTAGATGTCCCTTGCAGGTACCTAGTCACGATGCCCACGAAGACCTGGTGCACATTGTGCGGCTTGTACACACTTCCACATAAGTGGGGGACTTGCTCTGGAATGCTTCGGGCTATGCATTCGTCTCAGCTCCTTTAAGTTTCTGCTTCACAGACAACCTACGATTCGTGGATTAAGCACGAGACTACCACAGAGACCCGAGTCAGTCGCACTGGCAGTTTTCGCTTTGGGGTCTGTATGGTGGAACCCTGCGACATGAATACCTGGACTCAGACCTAACAAAGAAGTGCTTGACGTGTTCGGCTAACCAGGGGTTTTGCAGTATACCATACATAGACATATATATATATATATAGATACATATACTTTCTTGCGAAGATCTGAAGGTTGATGCAGAATGCAGCTGTCTCCTTGAGGCTGCAATGTTATGATATCAAGCCATCCTCTATGTGGCGAAAGCAATGCTTTCTAGAAAACTATTATTGCCGACTAGCTGTTTGGGGATGACAGGGCGGTCATGGTGGCAGCGAGGTGGTCATTGTGCTGGTAGTGGCGGTGAGGGTGGCGAGCGACCCGGGCAAAATCAACAGCAGCTCAGCCCACTAACATCACGGCAACAACCTAATTGTCACATACTGTCGGGCCCCATATAGTATTCCTGAGAGCAACCCTGAACCCTTTCACATCCACCCCATGAACTCCATCTTGTCTACAGTCTCACAGTCACCAACCGAACACATGGCCTGTTCTGACAGGAGAATCCTCTGATGCACCCTAAACCCTGAACCCTAAACCGTGGCACAAGCTTAAGATCCACGAACCCAGTGTCGCAAAGCCCAAATCCGAAGCCCTCAAGCCTCATTCCTAAAGCACAAAATCGAAATCCTGATCCCGAAATCCGGCCACCCGCCTCCTCTTCAGCCTCGTTCCTCAGATCACCGAAATGGGCTTGTTTTTTTGATCGGCGTTGGAGAATTCTTTGTGAAAGCTTCGTGCAAAGCTCTCATCCGCTTCTGCAAAAGGGCTTCGAGTTCAGAGGTGGAGTTGTTTGCATGTGTGTGTATATATATATATATATATATATATATATATGTGTGTGTGTACTTATGCATACACATATTTGTAAGGTCTGGGATACAAAGCTTGGGCTGTTGTGGCTTGTCTCCAAAGTTTTGAGGGCCTTCGCCTTAGACCTTAAAGCAGAAGCTTGCTGGATCCACAGGTAACTCACACCCCAAAACCCTGCGACCTTAATGCAACAGGGGGTGAGCAGGCTTGGAACTTGAGGTTCACCTAAACTTGGACTGCGTGGCGTAGGACCCGTCAAGGAATTCCTTACCTTTGGTTAGTAGGGAATGGAGGAATGGGGTACAATTATAACTACTGTTACTACCATTCTTCCATTCCCTACTAACCAAAGGTAAGATTCTTGAAGGGTCGATGCAAGCACAAGCTTCCAAGCACCGGAATTGGGGACAGGGGGTAGAAACCACAGTCGGATGCATCAAGCCCTGCTTGCTTCCTACACCGGTGCTACAAGTGGACCTGAAGCCTAAATCGGAAGAAACGGAATCATACTAGAAAACCAACACATTCTCATAAACCCACCAAAGCATAGCGCTGTAGAAATTCAGCACGCGTCTCTGATTCCGGAACTCGAGCCTATCTCAATGAAGTGCAGCACTTGCTCGGAGAATGATTTCTCAAAAGAAAGAGAAGCCCTAAACCCTAAACCCTAAACCCCTAAACCCTAAACCCTAAACCCTAAACCCCTAAACCCTAAATGAGGCATTTAAGGATTTATGGTTTTTTTTCGGCGGGGTTGCTCGGGTCCCTTGCTCGGGGGCTCCTTTGAATAGTCATATTCTTGGGGAACGGAAAATCTATATGAGGGTCCCCTATTTCTGAAAGCCGGCCCTGCATAGTCCATTTGTGGCTTCCTTGCTTCGTCTTCGGCCTGTAGGGAGGGTCTTAGGGCCCACTATACTCTAGTTGTAATAAGGAACCCTAGAAATAATATTGATAATTTTTTGGGCTTCTGCATTATGTCTGCAGTAAACCTTACAGACGAGCTTCCCCAGCTTGTTGGTCAGGATCTTGCTGAAACTCCGCTTGAACTCCTCCGGCAGCTTCGGGGGTTGGGTTGAGGGTTTTTTTATTGTTTAGAGTTGAGGGTTGAGGGTTAAGGGCCTAAAAGGGTTAGAGTTGAGGGTTCAGGGTTTAGGGTTGAGGCTGAGGGTCTTGGGTTGAGGGTTTTAGGTATAGGGGAGCTTACAATTATTACTATGATTCTCATTCGGATCCTAAGTTAAAGAGAAAGGTGGAGGCGCTGCATACTCACGGACGGTGTACGACATACTTCTGTAGATCGCTGGGATCCGAAAACGTGTGCTGAAGTGACACCTCCACCGGCCAGCACAAAACTGCAGACAGGAAGAAGCAATGAAGAATGACAGACCTCTACTAAGACTGGTTTTGACATCCAAAAGCCTTGAGCGAATTCGGGATCCGGGGCCTCTCGGGTGGTGCAGGAAGGAAGGAAAAGGGGGTGCCATATGTCGCGAGGAAGATGCTGACCACTCCAGTGGTGTATCAAGGCACAATCTACGAGACTTTGTAACTGGGGTTATACTGAAACTATACTTATACCCGCAATTAAGGCACCTGTAACCTTACTTACTAAGTCCCATGATCCTCCAAGTAGGGGCCAAATTGCAAAGCACGCGAGCTGTCCAATTTATGAACGGTGCCCATGGTGCACAGAATCCTTCATTCTTTGCCATAGAGCCCTCAACCCTGCACCCCAAGTCCGATGCCATCTGAAAATGCCCATGGGGGTTCCGTTTGGAAGTTTCCGAAAATAGGGGACCCCAGTATAGTACCCTAAATAGTAGGATCCTTATTATGAGAACCCCTAAATGAAGTACCCCTAATTTTCGGAAGCTCCCATTTTGTGATCAGGGTTTACAGTCTAGGGTTCCCTTCAGGGTCGAGGCGTTCCCAACCCCAACCGCTACTTGCTGGAGTCGTATAATCCTAGGGTAAAAGGAGGGACCCTCAACAAGGACCCCTATGTATAGACCCTTAATATAGCTGTTATATACCCATTATATAGCCCATTATAGGGTAGGGGTCCCCATTAAGGGTCCCTCCTTTTTCCCCTTGATATAAGCAACTCCTTCAGCTGACTGCTGGTCCGACGCGGGGCACCTGGTGTCCTTGAAAGCGAAGTCGGAGGCTTTCCGGCTTTGAGATTAGAGCTTTATGGGCTAGAAGGGGCCCCCACCCTGTAATAGTGACTATACGGATTCTATTGGGGCCCTATTATATTCCTACTATACCACTATTTTATGGGCGTTAAAAGGGGCCAGAGGCTGGCCCTCGCGTACTCAACCGTCAAACTCCCAAAACCCGCGAGCCTTGTCGGAAAAGGCGTGGGACTTGTGTAAGCAGGGATTCAGAGCTATGCGTAGCTATTTAAAACATGTAGTTGATCTCCCAGTGGAGGCCCGAATCAAGGTACGAACAGAGCAAGTCCAGTAGAACCTGCCTACTGCCCCGACTAGATTTTGCGATGTACTTGAGCTGTACTTGCGTATTTTTAAATGAAGCCTTCGTACTCCAAGCTGCTCGTACTCCATCAAGGACAGCAGCTGCCCGAAGCGCGCGCAGTTGGTCAAGGACAGGGTCGCACTGATCCTTCATTTCAGGTCTGCTTTCTTGCTCGAAACCTCTTGGTGCCTCTCTTACAACAAGTTGTATTTTGGTCCCTCAGCTGCTTTTCTTACTCGAGACCTTTTGGTGCCTTGCTTAAACCTGTTGATATTTCAGGTCTGATGGGACGCTCAGAGACTTAGCAAGTGAGGCGATGCATAGGTAACAGGCAGCAATAACTCAGGACATGCACCTACGATATATAACCATAGATACAGATGTAAGCATACAAATTTCCTTGTTCAAATCTATAGCCTCACTCCTCCAGCGGCTGAGGGTCTTGCAATGCCCTGCGCTATGATGGAAGCTTGAAAGGACGACGAGAAAATACGAGAACTCTACAGGAGCACTGGTGGTGTGTAGCTTTGACATATTAGTTCCAGCAACAGTTCGAAAGTTTCTGGATACAGTCAAGCAAATATTGATTGAACCATCGTCCTGAACACTGAATCCTAAACCGACATTAATTTCCCAGACAACATCTATGACGAAGCAGCATCTTGCTAAACAAAGCCGGATCGATTCTCACTCACGAATGCCCAGCTGCAACACCTCCAGAGCCCGAAACAAACGCTGACCGTGCGGCGTCTGAACCTTAAAAGCCAGCAGAAGCAATCCATAATGACACTGATCCCCAGAACCCCAAACCCCACATGAATCTGACCTTTCCTAAGCCCTTAACCGTGAACAACAAGAGTCCTGCAAAACTCTACTGGACACCCTTGCAGCGCTGAATTAAAGAACCCACAACCCCCACACCCTTAACCCTAAACTCTAAACCCTGATAGACCCTTGACCCTAAACTCTACACACTAAACTATAAAACCCTAAACTCTAGATACCTAAACTCTAAAACCCTAAACTCTAGAACCCTAACCTCTCACAATCCTAAACTCTAGATACCTCCAACCAAGGGACAGGAATCCCAGCTCCAGGAAAATGCTGAACTCGCTGTAGCTCGCGCCTTTTTTGGGGATTCAGTTTTTAGGGTTTAAGGGTTCTTTTAAAGGATCTATAGGGGTTTAGGGTTTCAGGGTTTAAGGGTTTGAGGGATTAGGGCTTTAGAGTTCAGAGATTTTGGGTTTTAGGGTTTAGGGCTTTAGGGTTTTGGGGTTGGGACTCAGGGTCGAGGGTGCATAACATGACCTGATCGGGTCTTCTGCAACTGTCTCCGAACAGGGTTTAGGGTTTAGGGTTTATAAACCCTAAACCCGCTAAACCCTACCGAACGGGGCTCTAGGAGGGTCTGAGGCATTGTGGGTTGAGCTTAAAGCTTGGAATGCTCGCAAGGGCGGGGAAACGTGGAGTTCGTCCAGCATGAAGGCTCAGAAGCCTACATTGGGATGCGAGCTGTAGACATGAACCTGATGAAATGGCAGGTAATCGTAGATCTATACAGGTCAGTGGTTGCTTGAAAATTTCAGGAGAGGAAGGTCACACGAATCGGGCATCGATGTGCTTCGTGCCTGAATATGAAGAAACAGCATGAGCCGTATCACAAAAATTCTGATGCTGCGCGACTGCTAATACCCCCTCGGCTGTGGGGTGTCAGCTGGAGCACCAAGGCCACAAAGGCGACCCTGCCTTGTAATTCCAAAACAGCGCTCCCTTCAGGTTGGGGAGGCTCCCGAAACCCTGAGGCCTAAACCCTGGACCCTACTTAGAGGATCATGGGACTTAGTAAGTAAGGTTATAAGTACCTTAACTGGGGTTATAAGTATAGTTACCCTATTTATAACCCTAGTTACTAAGTCCCATGATCCTTTAAGTAGACCCCTGAACTTCTAGACCCCAACCACTAAACCCTCAAAACCCCTAAACACCGAAACTCTCGCTAAACCCCAAACCTGTAGAATCCCATAGTTATTGATTCTTGGGCTGCCTCGTCTTTGCGTCCCACCGTTTTCTGGTACTGTACAGGTTGGCATGCAGATTCATGTTTAGAACTTTGTGCCCCCAATCCCTGGCACAGCTTAAAATGGCCGCCTGACTGATTAGAACTGAGATTCAATGCATCTTGTACTAAAATTACTAGGAGGTACTCTCAGGAATAACAGTACTCATTATTAAAGGCCCGTATTGGGGTCTCGGGGTGAGGGGTTTGGCCAGTGTATAGTTTAGGATACCTATATTCTCAAGCCGCGCTGGTTAATTCTCGGGTGTGTGTGGTCGGCTACTTCTGGCTTATGGGTCGGGTTTGAAATATACGGTCTGAAAATGCTAAGCATCCAGAAAAACGCAACGACAAGCCCGACAGCCTAACATCCTGCATCCACCTGCATGAAACGTTAAGGGGTGTGCAAATGTAAGGTACAATAATACCAGTCCTCAAACGCTTTCGTACAACAGCCACGTAAAGTGCCTTAGACCAACATGCCCTTCCTTCCTCGCCTGGATCTAACTCCAGCGTCGCCAGCCACATGCCGTGAAAGCCGAAGGCAGTGGCCACCAATGCCAGGTTGAAAGGCGTCTCCCAAACCTCGTTTGAATCCGGGCATTTTCTCTAATTATATAATATAGGGGCCTTACTATTTGGAATTAGGTCTTTGGAATTATAATATATTCTATATTCAGATTTCTGGTTTTGTAGGGACCTAAACTCGAAAGAGTTTGGTAAATAGCAAACTTCTGAACTGCATGCTGTAATCCTGTGCAGATTTGTCCCACTAGAGGTCCCCAACCCCGCAGCTTGCCCAAGGGATGTCACACTAGATCCCTGAAACTTCAACCCTGTGTAATCTAAGGGCCTTAACGATTCGACAGAAAGCCCCCGTAGAATCCTTCTAGAACCGCACTGAGAAGCTTGGATCTAGTTCGAGGCACTTGGGGTTCTCTAGAAACTGCAGCTTCAAAGAACCCGTGAAAAGCCCTTAAACAAACCTGAAAAGAAGCCTTCAACGAAAACCCTACATAGTCCTTGATGAATGCTTAAAAGAACCCTTTGAAAACTGTGTACGGGACCCGCTTTAAGGAATTCTTCAACAGAGCCTTGGCGGGACAAGTGGCCAGTCGCCGGGAGAAGTGGACGGCTTTGGTGGCCAGCTCTTTCCTTAGAGCGGGTGATCTGCGGAGTTTACGGCCTGTTTTCAAACAATGCGTTTTGTACGGCTTGCAGGGCGACTGTGCGGCTTTTGAGTGGTTTATTAAAATTTAGGTTGAGGGCGGGGGCGCGCGGCTTTGTAAGCTCTGTAAGGTCTTGACGGTTTAGAGGCTAGGTGGTTACGGATAGGGGGCGAGTGCCGAAAACACGCTGAAGAAAAGGCTGAGTTGTCGCAAGACCCCATTTACTCGGTTATAGCCTTGGAGCCCCAGGTCTGTGTGCTGGGAGTGGCCAATACCCGCGGACCAGCAATAAGCAATCACAGACCCTAGAGAAACATATAGAAACCGTATAGAAAACCTAGACCATTCCATAACACCATCTACACCCTGTAAAGCACCTACCGTGTATTCCTAAATACCAAAACCCTTAACCCCAAAACCCGAAACACAACCCCACACCCCCTGAATAACCCCCAAACTTAAACCCGAAACCTTCAACCCTCAACCCTAAATCCTCAAACAAATCCCTAAATAACACCGAAAACAGGCATTCATTACTAAAATACCCACATACCCTAACGTACCCTAACCCCCTAAGTAACCCCCAAGAGGTATTCCTTACAAGGAGCTCGGGCACACGAGTGGCCGATTCACACTGGCGATGGGCGGCCCGGTAAGCCAGAAAGAAACCTAAGGCTCTTCGCGTACTCGCGGGGCTTATTGGTTTTAGGGTTTACAAGGCTTCTAGGGTTAGGGGTTTGGACTTATAGGGGTATTCGTAGGGCTTGTAGCGTGTATAGGTATTACGGTAACAGGGCTTATAGGGTTTATTCGGGCTTCTAGGCTTTAGGGTTTAGGGCCTCACTATTATCAGGCTCTACAGGGTATTCATGGGGCTTACCGGGTTAAGGGCTTAGGGCCTCTCTCTATTCAAGAGCTTTAAGATTAATATCTAGGGCGGTTCGAAGCTATTCACGGCATCACTAGGGTCCTTTTATGAAGGGTTTTGAATTTTTTGTTACGAGTGCGTCCATGAAAGGGTTCTAGGATTGTTGTTTAAGGGGTTTGGGGTTTCAGTGTTTAAATAGGGCCTCTATGAAGGGGGCTTTAGGATTGCTAAGGGGAGCTTCAGGGTTTTAATAGGGTCTTTTTATGAAGGTTTTAGGATTTTAACCCTTGCATGGCCTTCTTCTGACGGGTTAATATCTTAAAGGGTTTGGTCAGGTGTTTTGAAGGCATCTGTAAAGGGTGTAGCTGCTTTGGGCTTTAAAGGGCATCTGAAAAAGGTGTAGCTTTTTTGAAGGGGGCGTTTAGGGGCTTTTGCGCTCTGAGGCTTCAGTTCATGCAGTTTAGGCCTTGGGATGTTGGCATTCTGAGCCTGGGCTCATCAGCTCACGAAGCTTTCGGGTTTGGGTTTTAGGCTTTAAGGCGCAGTGGTCGCATGTTGTTCAGCTTTCAGAGTTCCCAGCTTGCAGTTATGACTGGTAAAGTTACTGACATGATTACTTCTGTGTGGTGCTCGGGGGCTTAGTAGTGGCCGTACTGTATGAGGTCTTCAGCGGTTGAGGGTGTTTTCAGGATACTACCAGGCGTCTTGCAGAGAAGAGCGGCTCACAGAATTGCATGGTTGTTACGTTGTGATGATTGACGGCGCCAGGACCCTTAGGCTTGCGAGCGCGTCAAGTCCGAAGAACTGCCATCCCTACAAACTACAAACCTTGTGCTCCAAGCACTTCGAAGCTACACTGACTGTTGTCCCCGATGAATGCTTGCCCCGGTGGATATGCATGGTCCGGCTCTGCGGTGGAGGATTTACGTACAGCGTAGAAGTAGAAATCATGACTTCCCGTATGTGGGGCTCCTTTCTCAAGGTCTCCGGGTCGTAATGACGACGACTTTTGTTCCGACACGGCTCTATCACAGCTTAGAATCCTGAACCCATGCCCGCTACACGTACTTTAGTCTCGATACATGCGAGTCATATGGCATATCAGCCCAGAGAAGCCGAAACATGACAGAACGCCACCGGCGTCGCTGCAGAATAAAACCTTACTGAAACCAATGCCACAAGAGGCGAGGGCCATCAAAATCCCAACGCCTCAAGATGACCCTCGCCAAAAGCTCGAGCTGTGACCCTTCGGCTGCTGCTACCCAGAGTAAAACCCCGCAGCAAGCCTCGGGTCATCAGAATGGCAACGAAGAGGGTCGAAGCCTCGCTTCTTTAGGGCAAAGACCGCAGGTACCCCAATTCCCTTTCAATTTAGGAATACACCTTGACATGTAACAGGGATTCCTAAAGTGATGCTATAAGGTGTGTGTGTATATATATAGATATAGATATGTATACATATATATATATATATATATATATCCTGAATATAAAGGACTTTCGGAGTCCCTGCATCTCACACCCATCTCCTGTTGACATCTATCGTGGCTTGACACTTGTAGGGCTTTGGGGCTTCTGGGGGTTGTGGATGATTATAGGATTCAGGCTTTATGGCAGCTTAAGTTCCAGGGATTGCTGGAGTCTAGGATAGCCGCAGCCCGCCGACAACGAGCCCACGCCAGACTCCAGCAGAGGCTTTGGGGCGTGCGGCGCGCTCCTGCTGAAGGCTTCAGTAAGTTTTGACATCAAGCACCCTTGAGCCCGAATTGCTCAACCCCAAACCCTAAACCCTTACAAAACCATAGCTACAATAAATTCTGGAGCCATAATCCTAAAGTGAAGAACAGGAGCGACCGGCCGCAAATTCCCCCCCCCCCCCGCCCGCCCAAGCTTGTGTTAGAAGCCGCTGAATGCTGCAAAGCCGGCCTAGTCTTAAAGGCTCTGTAGGCTTGATTGATTTGTTGACTAGATGGGTTGATTGATATGTATCTACACATATATATATGTACATGTAGAGAGAGAGAGAGAGAGAGAGAGAGAGAGAGAGAGAGAGAGAGAGAGAGAGAGAGAGAACAAACATATGTGGAGTGTTAATAGGGGTAGGGCTGAATCGTAGTGTGTTGATAACAAGACTGAGTAGACTGACTGAGACCCCAAAGCAGTCGGTCCATTCCTCCGAGGTGTGGGACTTTCGACGTTTGGGCTCTGAGAATTCCGGGTTCGATGGTTTAGGGTTTAGGGATTTACGGTTTAGGGTTTAGTCCGGAATTGCCAAGACACCACGACAGCTCCCTCAATGCATGCCACACCCAGGATGAGGCCATGTAGTTTGCCCCCCTGGGCCAGGAACCAAACCTGACAAGGACCCTTATGGTTAGGGGGAAGGGGGAGCCTTAATACTGATACGGCTCTTGTAACAAGGCCTGTTTTAGCAAATACCTACCTTCCTACTCGAGGGTCCTTCTGACACCCACGACACTTGCCGGTTCGGTGTTCATACGGTTCACTGCTTCGTGGCACCACGTGGCTGCATGTCTCGCGCGAGAACTTTACATGAAAGAGCACCAATGTCCAGATCAGTGGACGACCCCTACTCGCTCGATGACAGACGACTCCGGGATACGCTGCATCAGCTGCGACTGTACATGTTCATGTTCCCCCGATTCTGCTCTTACTGCTATGACAACTACCAGCTAAATCTGCGACGACAGCCACCGCTTCCAGTAATTCTGACGGTCACTCCCTCCAACTTGATAAAATGACTGCAACGACGGCCACATAATCATATCCCATGACGTGCGCCACCAGCCGAAGCACGTACAGGACGGTAGCGGTGATAAGCGACAGCGCAAAGAGCAGCAGTAGAACGTCGAGAACTCGAGAACCTGACAGGGCGCCATCACAAGTTCCGCGCCAATCGACGTCCTGTGCCGAGTATCCTATGTTAGGAATTAGGGTCTATAGAGCCTTCTCGCATGTTCCTTGGCGGGCCTGGTCTTACTGTCACCGGAAGCCATAATTAAGGTGAACTTGACGCCATGCCGAGGTCATGCTACGTCAACTGCACTTCGGCGAGTTGGCTGTTATGGCGCTGTAGCCTGAAACCACGTCAGCAGAACGGCCTGAATAAAGCATGCAGTAAACGCAAAGCAACGGGGAGTTTCCGAAAATAGGGGTACCTTATTTTGGTGGCCCTTATAATGACGATCCTATTATTTAGGGTACTATATTAGGGTCCCCTATGTTCGGAAACCGCCAAGGCAGCCTGACAAAACTCGCAACATGCAAGGCCAGCGATGTTAAGCAGCATCTTCCGCTTAGCAACACGGAAGGAGCACAAAACACAGCGCAGATTGAAGCAATGACGACCTACTTAAAGGATCATGGGACTTAGTAACTAGGGTTATGATTAGGGTAACTATACTTATGACCCCAATTAAGGTACTTATAACCCATAATATACTTACTAAGTCCCATGATCCTCCAAGTAAGATGTGCATGTGACGACACCGCAACATCTTGCTCCGACTCTGCGCCTGCAGCAATACCAGTAACAGCAAGAGTCTCGGAGTCTAATACCGCCCGCACCCTTGTTCCTAAAGAGTCCTAAACCCTGAACCCAAAATCCTAAACCCTATAAGCCCAAAACTCTGAAGCATCAAAAACTGAAGCTGCCACCATCGGCAATTTGTCAGGCGCCCCACCGAGAGGTTTCTGGAAGGCTTTCTCCAACGTAGCCAAGTGAGACTTGATCACAACGAAGCCCATGAGCTTGTTGCACCAGAAAAAGAGATGGCCTCGGGATTGAGGGTTTAGGGTTTAGCGTGGGATTCCGGGAAAACAGCCCGGAATGCTCCGAGCAACCCTTGGCCGAGAACCTAAGACAAAGACAGCTTTGGGAAGTCGGTGCCTGCGAACCGAACACCAATGAGACAACTTGTTGCTGAATCATGCAGCTGATATGCAAGGTGTCCTAAACAGCACGGCCTACCTTTCGTACGACCTCGGCCACCCGTGAAGTGTGACCAACCACTGATAAACTTCATGACGAAAGCATCCCAAAGTCTAAGTCCGTGCCGTCGGAGAAACAGGGAACCCATCCTACAAACTCTGAAGAATCTCACACTCCTCAAACTGTCTCCGCACCCTGTTGGACCCTGGTTACTGAAAGGAGTTTTAAGCAGGTCAAAAGAAACCCTCAAAATTCCCTCTACACCAATCTCATGCTCTGGCTACTTTACCCAAAGGCTTGGAGGAAAGGAACCCTCAACCGTGATTGTAACTCCAGGAGCCCGTGACGCTCATGATTTACGAGGCGTCGATTTCAGCAGCCCCCACAAGTATTCATTTACTAGGGCTCTACATTCAAGAGTAAGGGAATTTAAAATCATCCCAAATCGATACCTAGTTTAGGATTGAAGGAGAGCAGACCGCTGAAGCTTCTTTTGCACCCTAAACCACAACCGCAAACACTCTGAAATCCTTCACCCTAGAGCCTGGGAGGCTTTGCCACCTTGCAAGAAGATGTAGCCTTAAGAAAACAGAACCGGAATCTACTATAGTATAGTACAGTCCTAAAGCGACTATAAGGGAATACTGTTCGCAATCACTCCGACACCCTAAACCCTAATCCACGGATGGCCTAGCAACCGGCAGTCGAAGAGTCCTTCTTCCTAGGAAAGCTGATATTCCGAGCCGTCCCTTTCGCCCTCCGTTAGCTTGGGAGCCCTAGGCCCTAGTAATCAGAACAGGGGGTGGTTTGTGTTTTATAGTTAAACTTCTATAAGGAACCCCAAAGAAATACAAGCTTGCATCCAAATCCAGCTCGATCTGGCAGGCCGGGTTGCCAATCACAGTGACCCAGGTGAAGATCGTCAACTCTAGCAGCCTCGTAGCTTTAGAGCTTCAGGCTGCAGGAGTTGAGGATACAGGGCAGCCTGTAACCCAGCAGAAGTGAGGGTGTAGAGGGCTCGGGTTCTGTAGTTTGTACTAATGCTGAGGTTTAGGGCACAGGCGAGACTGCGAAGAGTATATGGTAGTTTCCGAAAACAGGGGACCCTAAAAAAATACCCTAAATAGTTGGATCCTTATTATACCGACCCCAAAATAAGGCACGGAAACTCCCCGTGGGGCTCTGCATGTTTCTCGACGTCCCAGTCAGTCGGCTGAGTTCCACTAGCCGCTTTCGGTACGGTCATTCATCTCATGCTTGAAGGATCATGGGACTTGGTAAGTAAGGATATAAGTACCTTAATTGGGGTTATAAGTATAGTTACCCTAATTATAACCCTAGTTACTAAGTCCCATGATCCTTTAAGTGTTCCAGCTTCTCCTAATGAGGATGATGATGACTATGACTACGGCCACAAATGTTCTTATTGTTGTTGCGACCACCACTGACTACTGACTACTACGTGCTCACTACTGACTACTGCCTGCAGACGACTACTAGTAGTACCGCTACTACTACTACTACTGCTGCTACTACTACTACCACTACCACTACCACTACCACTGCCACTGCCACTGCCACTGCCACTGCCACTGCCACTGCCACTGCCACTGCCACTGCCACTGCCTGCCACTGCCACTGCCACCACTGCCACTGCCACTGCCACTGCCACTGCCACTACTACCACTACCACTACCACTACTACCACTACTACCACTACTACCACTCCCACTACCACTACCACTACCACTACCACTACCACTACCAATACCACTACCACTACCACTACGACTACTACTACTACTACTACTACTACTACTACTACTACTACTACTACTACTAGTACTACTGCTACTACTACTACGACGACCACGACCACGACCACGACGATGACTCCGACCACGACCATGACTACGACCACGACCACGACCACTACCACTGCGACTGCTACTACTACTACTACTACTACTACTACTACTACTACTACTACTACTACTAGCTACTGAGCTACTGAGCTACTGAGCTACTGTTACTGTTGTGCTTATCCAGGTGAACATGACCATGATTCGTGTTCTTCTTTCCTTAGCTCAACTTGCGATAGGAACCGCGGCAACTTGGAGGATCAAGGGACTTAGTAAGGAAGGTTATTATAAGTACCTTAATTGGGGTTATAAGTATGGTTGCCCTAATTATAACCCTAGTTACTAAGTCCCATGATCCTTTAAGTAGACCCTGAAAACCCCTCTTATCATAGAACCCCTATAGATCCCTTTAAAGAGCCCTTTAAGGAACCCTAGTTACTAAGTCCCATGATCCTTTAAGTAAGTGATCTTCGAGAAATTCACGGAACCTCATTCCGACTCGGGGGCTCCCTGGGACTCGAAGGCTCCCTCAGACCTTATGGTGCCTTTAAAGGAACCCTTACTTAAAGGATCATGGAACTTAGTAACTAGGGTCATAATTAGGGTAACTATACTTATCACCCCAACTAAGATACTTATAACCTTACTTACTAAGTCCCATGATCCTCCAAGTACTATGAGGCTATGCCACCTTGCCTACCGGTGCCTCCAAGAATCAGCTTTCTCGTCTAGGCTGCCTCCGTTACGCATCGGAGATGCGTCATCACAAGCGCCCTAAAAGTGACCAGAAGTCCCCACCTGCTCAAACTATCCCTAAGCCTCCAAAGCCCCCGAAGCTAAAGCTGAAACCACCGACGTCAGAGTTTCCGAAAATTAGGGGTACCTCGCTTTGGGGGTCCTTATAATAAGGATCCTACTTTTCGGGTATTACATTAGGGTCCCCTACTTTCGGAAATTCCCACATCAGAGATGCTTCCGAGCTGCGTGTTATGAGCAGCACACCACCTGTTTGGTCGCGGTAGATGTTGCTTTAGGGTTTAGGCTTTAGGGTTAAGCGCTTTGGGGTTCAGGGGTCAGGGCAGTTTAGGCAGTTTAGGGCTCTAAAACACTTGGGGTCAACTGGCGGTTAGGTGTTTGTGAAGGAGAGGTATACTAGAAGGTCGACATATAAGGGACTATAATGATTCATGATCATCCGTATTATTGTTGATATTCGTAGTGTTCTGTATACTATTTTTGCCTCTAAAAACTATGCTGATTGTTATTGTCGTCACTATTACTGCTCTTTCTACTACGCCTGTTCTTATTATGATCCCTCTATTGCTGATAGTGTGATTTGGGCCGGGTGTAATTGCATCGCTAGACATGACGTTACAACTGCAACTTGGCCACGGGTTCAGGTCTATCTACGGCATGGTGGTAAAGACTACTCACCAAGCTCGCGGTTGAGGCACCTGGGACACCTTCAGCCGTTAGCCTTCAAATACTCCAGCCGCCTGTGTGCGGCCAGGAAATGGAAGAGCCACACGTTCACGGCATTCAGCAGCACGTGCCAACGCAAGTAGACCTACCCAGGCATTCCCAAAGCTGCAGGATTGCAGATTTAGGCTTCCGGATTTGCAAGATTATGGGGCTTTACTTGGTACTTGCCTCACTATGTTTTTGTTTTGTTGCCCGTAGGCATTCAGCAGGGAACGGGAGTTCATGCAACAAATCGCGGTTTCGGTCGCTGGGCTTTGTGATCCGAGGCACCAGAAATGGGGAGCTCAACCACCACTTCATCTGCGAGTTCAGGACAAGCGCCAAGCACAACCTTGACGAGGCAGGTTCATTTATTGGGACCGGAATGCTCCGAACTCGAAGCTACACATGGGTGGTTGTCAACATTATGGTCCCTTTTGGGGTCCTTAATATAATACGGCACCTAATATTCAGGGTACCCCAAAAAGGGACCCTAGTTTTGACAACTACCCACATGAAAATCTGATACTGTTAGTGCACATTTTCAATCCAAAAGCCTTGATTTTCGAAGCAAACTTCCAAGCCACACAGAAGCCGGGAACCTATCGCAGGAGCAACCCAAGTAGCAATCCATGCTTGGTTTTGGCTGTTTTATTAAACCTTACATGACGACAGAGATTGCAAAATCTCCCCAACGCGCTGTTCTACTCCACTCATAGCTCACCACGTCTGAGACGCCATCCATATCATTAGCCCCATAAACCCATGTTCCCGAGGACAAGAGCATGCTTCAAGCAAGGAAGTGCAAAACAACTCCAAGGGCTCTGGCACCTGAATTTAAACATCTGCAGCCCAGCATCAAAGACATCATAGCTGTAAAAAAGGTGACGAATGTCCTGGGTCCGCGAGTGGCGGGGGACTCGGGCTACCTCATCGACAAACCAGAAGTTAAATGTCAGCTATAGCACCACCCGAACTTACACTCAATGACTGTGACATGCTCGTTGTTGTTGCACGTGTTCTTGATGCCCAATTGCTTGCACATGTAGTCGTTGCAGCGAAATATTATGCGGGTTGGTTCGACCACAATGCCGCCGCCACTTCCGACTGCTTCGGCTCCTGCCCCCAGAGCTCCTCCTCCTCCTCCTCCTCCTCCTCCTCCTCCTCCTCCTCCTCCTGCTCCTGCAACTCCCACTCCTACTCCTACTCCTACTCCTACTACCACCGCTGCTCCTCCTGCTCCCAACCTCACCGACATCTACTGCTACTGTTACTACTGCTACCACTGCTACTGCTGCAGCTTCTTCTGTTGCTGCTGCTGCTGCTGGTGCTGCTGCTAGTACTATGTCCTGCCATCGCTGCTACCATGACGACAACGATGACAACGGCGGATGCTGCTCTTGCTACTACTGTACCAACAAAAGAACCGGCACGGTCTCCTCCACTACTACCCCTTTTCACTGGTGCCAACATCTCCACGACGACCACCAGAAATGACACCTGCACCGACACCAACCAGAACGACTGAAAAACCACCAACGGCACCGACAAAACACTTTTCCCCTAGGAACTTGGTCGAATCTTTTCCCATGTCGTTGTGCCCTCTGTGCGCGAGCCAAAGCTCATCCCGGAAAAGCCGGTATTCTTCTCGGCCACCTTGTGCTTGCTATTCATTGCCTGCGAAAGATCTTCGTCAGAAAAGCCGAACACGTCGAAGATAAAATAGGGGGCCTTAATAATTAGAATAGGGTTTTGGGGGCCATTATACTATACCTGTAACAAGGACCCCCCCCCCCAAATAGCAAAGGTAAGTATTGAGGCCTCTATACCATAGCACCCTACTATAGATCCCTTAAAGGAACCCCCAAAATAGTAGAGGAAATTATTTAAGCCTCTATATGGGAGTTTCCGAAAATTAGGGGTACCTTATTCGGGGGTCCTTATAAAAAGGATCCTGCTATTTAGGGTACTATATTAGGGTCCCCTACTTGCGGAAACTCCCATATGAAGCTTTCGCCATGCGCTTTCGTAGAGATTGGGGCTTCAGGTCTGGGAGCCCGGCCTGGCCGCAGAACTCTGCTTGGAGGGTCATGGGACTTAGTAAGTAAGGTTATAAGTACCCTAATTGGGGTTATAAGTATAGATACCCTAGTTATAACCTTAGTTGCTAAGTCCCATGATCCTTTGAGTGGGGTTGCTACCTGCTCTAAAGGATACCATAAGGATTCTGTAAGGGTTCCTTTAAACGGTACGGTAAGGGTTCGATAAGGGTTCCTTTGAAGGGTACTATAAGGCTTCTGCGGGGGAAGCTTATTAAGAAACCTCGGGCCCTTATTAAGGGTCTTGAGATGAATCCTATTTTGGGGTTATAGGTTTAAGCCTGGACCTTAGGAGTTGAGGGTTTAGGGTTTAGGGTTTAGGGTTTAGGGATTAATCAGGTTCCTACATGACTTGCTTTTACCAGCTTCAGTTCAACAACCCTAAAGCCTAATATGCTTCAGGGCTTCAGGTTCGAGTTCTGGGGTGTCGGGTACCGACACGAAACCAAAGCCTGTTGAGCGCGCTGCTCTCTGCCTTTGTTGTCCGTCTCTTTAGGGTTTAAGATTTGTAGGGTTTCTCTCCGTCTCTGTCTCTCTGTCTCTCTCTCTCTCTCGCTCTCTCTCTCGCTCTCTCTCCCTCTCTCTTTTGCTCTGTCCCCTGCGCGACGACAGTCAGCTCCTTCTCCATGTCCATATACGTGTTGCACACGGCCACCTGCATAGGAGCTCGGAAACATCCGTCTTCCACAAAGCGGCATGCGTCAGTGTTCTGTGGTTCAAACTAGGCTTTCCGCAGCTGTGCCTTGAGATCACTGCACTTGATCAGGCGCTTTGGAATCCGCTTTCAGGTTTCTTCAGCAATGCGTTTCGTAAGGGTGACCTATGATGCATGATGGATTTGCAAAGACTGTCAAAGAATGGCAGTTCCTGCTAGCTGTTGCAGCTCGAAAAGCTGCTCAAGCCAGAACTCTGATCAATCGCGCCTCTCGAAGGGACTCCAAAATCCAAAATTATCTAAGCCCTTACAGAAAACGACGGCTTCAAATCCAGGGCTTCGGACGGGACGTTCCATAAACAGCTCCGGCTGCATCTTCCACTCATCTTCTGATTTTCAACCCTTGCCCTGCTCTTTAAACTCTACGTATAGTCTCCATTGTAGCTCCTGTTTTGGTTCACCAGTTTTATGGTTAGGATCCTATAGTAGAGATTCTGGTTAACCAAAAAAAGGAGCTGCATTGGAGACTATAGGTATTAGGCCGTAAGAATCAACAGGTGAGTTGTAGAGCCCGCGCAATCCTCAGCTTTGCCACCGTATGCTGAAACGACTACGTCGACAGCCTACGAGACCTGTCGTGGAGTCGAGCATCTGGCGAGGGACGTTTTAAGGTTTCGGGTTTAGGGTCACGCAGGGTCCCTGTTTTCACGTGCCGGTTGGCGCGATATTAAAAGTTTGCAAAGCTGAACATTATAGAGCCCCAAATGCCAGCTCGTGCTCCTCGCCGCCTACACCCACAATCAGCTGTCATCTAACACTCCCAGCGGCAACCAATAGCACGAACTCTGCAAGAAGCGCGCCGCTCGAAATCCAACCTTTCAGTCCAAAACCCTAAGGCGCAAACCTCAAGCACTCAGGGTTAATCGTAGCTTAAAGACTCCACTCTCCCACCCAAGGTCCTGTGTATCAAAGACCTTATCGGCAGAACCCTACACCATCTGAACCATCCTGAAACCAATTAATGGCCCGCCGGCGAAAATCTCGAAAGCCCTTAGCCCAAAGGCGCACCATTCCGGGATGCTGCAGCAGTGGAAGCAGCGTTGCCCAGAGTGCTAAAATCACAGCAGCGACGGACCTTTCGCCCGATTCGGTAGGGCATCGTCTTTTGCGGGGGCATTCTGGGGCATGAGAATGTAATGCATTCGACTGAAGGATACTGCCGCCGAAGACCTTGTTGAACAACCCCAAAAACAAATGAACAACCAACGAAAACCCTGCAGCAGCATTGACAACTTCAAAAATTACGGAAGCAAGAAACCCTAAAGAAAAATATTCAGGCCCCTTTCTATTATAACCCTGAAACCCTTAAACCCCTAAACCCTAATCGCCTGCCTGCAGAGTGCACGGTAGCGGACGCTTGCCCAGGTCTTCTGGCCTTCGGGACATAGGTCGCCCTCCTTGGCTTCTGGTCTGAAGGGCTTACATAGGGTTGAGGACTTAGGGCTTAGAGTTTCGTGTTCAGGGCTTCGGGTTGAGGGCTTTGGATTTATGTTTTCGCTGTATGAGAAGGCGTTCTGTGAGCATCAGAGAGATTGTCACGAGGCGCTTGCCGGGCATTCAAAAAGAGTTTTGTGTTTTGTCTTTATCTTTAAGGGTGAAGGCGGTTAAGGATCAATGTCTCTGGCTTGCAAATGGTCTGGGCTTCAGGATTTGATTCGGGATTTTAAGTTCAGAATATGACGGTTTACGGCGTTTCCGAAAATTAGGGATACCTTATTTTGGAGTCCTGAAAATAAGGATCCTACCAGATAGGGTTATATTACTATATTAGGGTCCCCTATTTTCGGAAACTTCCAAATTGCTGCAACCTGAACCCATGAACCCTCAATCCTCAAGTCCAAATCCTCACATCGCAAACCCTCAACCTTCGAGCTGCTAAGCTCGAAACTACTTAAAGGATCATGGGACTTAGTAAGTAAGGTTGTAAGTGACTTAATTGGGGTTGTAAGTATAGTTACCCTAGGTATAACCCTAGCTACTAAGTCCCATAATCCTTTAAGTCGGGTTTTGTGAACAGTGCGTGCCATGAGAGGCCGCGATCTCGGGCATAATTCAAACCCCCAAACCGTTTAGGGTTTAGGGTTTAGGGTTTCGAGGTTTCTTCCCAGTCCCCTGCAGCCGCGAGTCTTGTAATGCGCGGGGTCTGCAACAGCCCACACTCATGTTCTGTGGAGGGAAGCTATTGCTAAGACTTTAGTTCTTTGTGTTTAAGGTTTTCGGATTTGAAGTTTGGGGCATTTTTCACATGTTTACTCCCACGATCAGTATTAAGGGCTGAGCAACCAGCAGGAATGGAAATGATGCCCCCAGTTTGCGGCCGCCCCCTTCCTTCCATCTGCGACTTCTTCTCGTGGGAACAGCTGATCTTGTACCAAGCCGCGGGCAGCTTTTTAGGATTTGTTGAGCTTCGGGCGTTTACTCGAAGGAAACAACGCGTGCTCAGCTCGCAAGATTGCATTGTTCTTCGGATGACCGTTTCTGACGCTTGACCGGTTTTCGATGGGCCCGTGAAAGTCCGCCTAATACAGTCGAAAACGGCCTTGTTTCTGGCATGTGTGTTGACGCAGACAAAGACAGAGGCAGGGAGAAAGCGAGAGGCGTGCTTCGTGAGTGCTTGGTGAGGGCCTCGTAAGTGGAACCCTAAGCTTCGCAAAAAAGCGGGCGCTACAGGCTTTGGGTAGTCTTAGGACTCGCGGCTCGCTGACTTGAGACTCTGGTTTTTTATATATAAGTTCTTCTCGGTGTCTTAGGCATCTAGCTTTTAAGGATTTCGATTGTCTTAGGGGTTGGTGTTAGGGTTTAAGGGTTTTTGGGTTAAGGCCTTCTAGGTGAGGATTCCAGGGATGTTCCTGTTTCCGAAGGCTTCAAAAATGAGTAAAGTTTAACGTGACCTAAGCTTTATGAGATCTCGTGGACCCTGACCCCTAAGCCTTCATCCCCCTAAGCCCGAAATCGTCTTCGGGGGATGTCCACGGATTGAAAGATACGAGTCTGCGCCGAACATTAGGGCCATGAGGGTCTAGATGCTTAGGATACCGATTCTTGTAGTGCGGT